AAAGCTGAGTTGATGGCATATCTGCTTATATTGTCTCGTCTGCCTTACCAACATTTCCTAAGTAAGGGATGGTTAGGGCAAAACTCTCCAAGTCAGAAAGAGAAAGAAATCTGAATGCTAAGCCAAAAACAAAAACCAATAAAACAAAACACCTAGCAGACAACAAACCAGGAAATGAAGATATCTGCAGGCACTGATGGAAATCACCGCAAAACTGAAGGAAACTGCCTGCAAACCCTTCCCCAGGCTACAGTTTCTCTCCGAAGGAAAACGTGGGGCCTGATTTGTAGAACAGGAACCGGAGATGGTCACATACAAGGTGGCACAGCTTTCAGCCTCGGAAGGTTAGCCTGGGTTAGACCAACTCTCTCACGCACAAAACAGCAACTTAAAAAGCCAGACAACATTTTTTTTAATTAAAACAAAAGTGAAGGACTAGGAGGGAAGGGAAGTCCATAGACAGGAGTCCTACATTTAGAGCCTTATTTTGCCCTGGAGGCTTTTCCCATGAAGAGGGAAGCTGAGCTTTCAGTATTCCCACAGGGGCTGAGAGGGGAAAATTAGGCTCGGGCATGCTGAGGAGAAAGAGCACTGGTAATCACCTCAAGGATGCAGCTGTGCACTGGACTAAATTGTGTCCCCAAGAAATTCATGTCCACCTGAAACCCCAGAATGTGACTGGATTTGAAACAAGACTCTGGGCAGATGTAATTAGTTAAAATGAGGTCCTACTGGAGTGGGGTGGGAACTAAATGCAATCAGACTGGTGTTCTTCTGAGGTGAGGGCAGGACACAGAGAGACAGACACAGAGGAAAGGCCATGTGAAGACAGAGGCAGACACTGGAGTGATACAGCTACAAACGAAGAACACCAGGGACTGCTGACGCCAAGGACTGCTGACAACCACCAGAAGCTGGAAACACACACGGTCTCATAGCATCCAGGAGGAACCAACCCTGCTGACACCTACACTTTGGACTCCTGGCCTCCAGAACTGCGAGAGCATAAATTTCTCCCTGTTGTTTTAAGCCACCCAGGGTGTGGAAATTTTGTATGGAAGCTCTGAAAAACTGAAAAGCCCAAAGAACTGTATCCCAGAAATAAGGCAGAAGCAGAAATACAGGAGCCCTCACAAATGCGGAAGCCCAGGTGTGAACTGGCCCAATCCTTGACTGAATTAAATTGGTCTCCCTCTACTCTACCTGCCTGAGAAGGAACAGCAAATCCTCTCTGAAGAAAGATAACACCATCTCAAGCTTCAAATTCGCTCTACAATCCTTCATACACAACATCTGGCATTTGGTCAAAATACCAGGCATCTACAAAGACAAGAATATATTCAAAATCCATTATCTGAGAGATGTTTACACTCAAAAGCTACTGAATTTTAGATAGGGGCAGTGCGAACAGTAACAAAAGTGCAACAATAAATGTCAACCAACACTCTTATCTCAAGTGTCAAGGACAATCGGGGAGATGGAGACCATGGTGAACTAGAGCACTTTTGCCAACCTACAGAGGGCAGGAGTATCAGGCTCCAATCAAAGTCAGTAGTACATGTGGGCCCAGAGTCGCACATCTTCAAGTTTAAGAAAAGTCAGAAATTCATATTTCAACATAATATCTCATATTTTTTCAATGTTGGCAACTTAAAAAATAATTTTTTATGTATACTGTACAGGGCACCAGTTTCCAATCTCAGTCCCGCACGCACCCTAACCCCAGATGACCAAATGCAGTCATGCCTCTGGCAGACTCAGCACTATTTACAGTACTGTGATTTTCAACAACATCATTTTAGTCAGTCATTACTTTTTCAGCTTTTCTCTCTTCAAAAGGTAATGTTGCCCATTTGTAAATAGAGCTAAGGCAATAGCCTTGTGGATCAATTCACCCTTATTTATCCTCTCCTGTCACTTTCAATGTAGTTAACTGAGCTAGAGTGGTCTACAGAGGAGGGGCAACGGTGGGCATCAGGCCCAATGTCAGAAGAGGGGGCAGCTGGGAAGAGCCAACTGACCTGGGTTGGAATCCTCAGCTCTGCCATTTACCAGCTGTGGGAACTTGGGCAGCTTATTAACTTATTTGAGCCTCACTGTCATCCCCTGAGAAATAAGGACACCGTCATCTACCCTGGAAAGGAATTGCCAAGTTTCCATCAAGCACCAGTTCCAGCAGCTCTGGACTGGACTTTGCAGGCACTTTCTAAGGGGGTCCCTACCACAACCTGCAAGGCAGAGCCTGTTATTAACCTCTTTTTGCACATGAGGAAACAAAGCTCAAGGGGTGGGGGGTGTCCCAGAGACCTCACGTGTGACAAGTCACTGAGCAGAGATTTCAACTCTGTCGCCTGACTGTAGAGTCTGATACAAGCTGCTAAGTTACATAAAGGGCCTAGCCAGCAGACAGCAGCCAGCAGCCAGCAGACAGCAGGGGCGAAGGAACAGACGATGCTCATTTCCACCAGGCTTTATTTGCTTCACTCTGCCGGAAAGGTCATTCCAGTGGCTTTAACAGCCTCAAGAAGCCACTGATCTGATCTTTCCCAGCTCTTAGTTGAAAGCCCACCGCTCCCCTCTCTCGTGAGGCTTTAATCACATGTTCAACAGCAGGAAAGAGGTTTTCATCAGCCAAGGACTATTCTGCACCGGTGAATGGTTCTTCACACTACCAACGGTGACAGCAAAAGCCCCTGGCAGCCACTCATCGCTAACCCAGTTTGGTCCTCCCCTGCTTCTAGGGGTCTAGGAGGCGGCCCAGCACATCCTCCTCAGAGGAAAACAGAGCCAGAGACCCGTTCATCCGCCTCTTTGGGATGCAGGTGCAGAAATCATGCTAAGATACAGGGAAGTGGCAAGAACATGAGTGCTGGAGATGCCTTGCAAACATGTTGGAACCTCTCTGATTATCAGGGCCAAGTAACAAAAAGACAAGAATTCTGGTCTGGATGGAATGGAAAGAGCCAGTCTTCATGGCTAAAAGATCAGAGAGCCTTAAGGGGGATGAGATGCAGGAAGAGGTTAAATGGTAAAAGGGTGTTGAGGAAAGATGGCAACTAGTTAAACATTTATTAGGTGTTATGAACGGAAGCAGATCTTCACATGAGATTCTCACTGAATCCTCCTGACAAGCCCCCAGATAGACGAAACTACCCTCCTTTATAAGTGAAAACGACTAAAGCTCTGAATATTCCAGGGCCCTACCAGACTTAGCCTCACAGTCTGACAGCCAGGGCTGCCTCTGCCATAGCCGGCAGCTGCCATCGACTGGATGGAAGCAGAGCCAGAGCCTGCCAGTGTCATCAAGGTGGCTCCCCCTGAGACAGGAACGATGGAAACGAGGGGACTGTGAGAAAAGCAATGTCCTTGAACAGCTTCTCAGCCAGCTCAGAGCCCTCAGCCACCCCCACACAGGGGTCCAGGGAAGCCTCCTGGACATGAGACAACAGGACTGACATCCGAGGCGGCAGTTAGCATTGATGCTGACGTTTCTCCGAATCGGCCCCGCACGGCCATGACTTCATTTTAAAGGAGGAACCCAAGAGCACAGGAGAAAAATCAACAGTGACAGGAATCCCTCTTGCAGCTTCCTCTGATCCCAACAGGAACCACAATAATTTCTGAAGATGAGGAACCGATGAGATGAACAGGCATCAAAGGTTTGTTGAAGGGCAGGAAAGAAAAGGGAGATACACCAACACAAAAGAGAAAGAAAGAACCGCAAAAGGCTCAGTCAGCAGGGAATTTCCACCAACAACTAACTTCACCAAACACGGTGAGGTGGTTTATAGCTATGAAAAGAGGAAAACCAGCCAAAAATGACACATTGTACACTAACATTGTACATAACAAGAAAGATTTGGGAGTTAAGGGTGACAACCACAAGCAAAGTCTAAAAGAGCGTGCTCTCTAAAGTGGGGTGGGGGGGAGAACATAGGATGGTTTGGGGGGGTGTTGTTGTTCTTTATGTATATTTGTTTTTTTCATAATTTGTCATGTTTTAGGATACCAAAAGTGATTCTAATGGTTGAATTTAACCTCATCTTCAATCCACTGACCCATTTCATTCAATGACATTATTCAATATTAAAAGGAACTTAAAACACACATGCACACAACTGTACAGTTTTCATAAAGGTCTATTTCATTCTTGGTGGGTAGCGCATTTAACAGTAAATACTTTTAAATAATGCCCAGGTGACTGCACGGCTGCAACATTCGTAACTGGATAGGTAAGCATAACCAATTCAACTAGAAACCAACTAACAAGTAACTGTCTAAATATTTTAAGTCTCGTTTGGACCATCAGTTTGGGATGGTTTTATATGATGGGATCCCCTGTAAGGTTCAGGCCCAAAGCAAACCACTCTCCGCAGTGTCCTCATCTGTGCGGTGGAGGAAATAAAGGTGCCTACTACTCACAGGGTGTTGTCAGAACTGAACAAGTTCATTTATGCAGAAGGCGGAGAAAGTGCCAGGCTTGCACTAATACTTGCACGTGTTAGCAGTTATTGTTATTAGCATTACCTGTGTCATTCAGACATACAGGCGCGTGGCGCTTGGGAACTGCTTTGACAACTTTGAAATGGATGGCAGCAGGACGTATACGCTCAGAGACCTGTGTGGTCTCTGTTGCTGTTGTTGAAGACAGATTTAATTATGAAATATCATGCTACCCCCATGCATCGTATTAAAACAGATTACCAATTTCCCAGCAACTGCCTCACCACACTGTGAAATAAGCACCTCCGCTACAGGCCTCCAAGCCCTTAAAGACGGCAACACGTGGCGCTGGGATTCTGCACAAAGGATGACTTCACTTAAATTAAGGTGCCAGACAAGTCGGGCATCCTTACACGTGATTTCTGCACCACCACGCCCTGCCCCACCCCACCCCCCATCAGTCCCACACAGTGACTGCCTTGCTCACTATTGAATAAAAATAAACAGAGAGAGAAAAGACAGCATCCTCTGGGCCACCACATCAGGCCCAGCAGTACCTGTTTCCGTTTTGCTGGAGAAGCCGGCTGCCTGTTTGATCGCAGCTGCTGTTAGTGCTAATCCACGACTCCTCTTCAAGCCATGCTGTAGGACGGCCTCAAACTGGGCGCACAGACAGGTCACCCTGTGAGAGAACCAATGATTCATCAGTCCACCTGTGAAGGGGAGAAACCACCAGAGTGGCCCCGCATCTCCAGGGAGCCAGTAAGTCACCAGGTGTGAAGGAACCCACAAGACACCTGGATTTACAGGCAGGTAATTGCCTTGGGCCGCTCCACACACCTCTCCCCATGTCTGTTTATTTCACATAACTCAGGGAAGCCCAAACAGTCTAGCCATAATCATTAGACTGGTGGAAGCATAGTAAAATTCACAAGAAATAAGGGAACATGGAATTGATGCCAGGCAGCAGGAGAGAGAAAAAAGCCCATTTAAGAGCAAATCCGTTTGGTGTGGGGAGGGGTGGGTGTTGATTGTATCCAATTCACACATTTCAACTCAAATTTATATCACAGGTAGTTTAAGGAACACGATTATCTTTTAAGAGATTGAATTCACCAGCCTGACAAATTGGAAACATTGTGTAATTTCATGGCCTGTTACATACAATAATGAAATAATATGAATTCTGATTCTTGTTATTTATTTTGTTGTAAGAGATTATCTTTGAAGTCGGATTCAGAGTTTATGGAATTTTCAATTAAGTTACCATTACTCTGCTTGCTTTTCTACCAACAAAAAGTTGTAATTACCGTGGATTTAACTGAATTCATTTCTCAATAACCAAAGAAATGGAAGATTCAAGAACACGTTTGCAAAGAGATGAGGTCACAGCAACTACCCTCTATTCTTACCAATCCTCCCAGCACTCCTTGGCCCTCAGCCCAATTGGGTCTGTGGATTTCAGAGACCCTTCCATTCGCTTGTGCAACAAATATTAAGAAACCCTGAACTTCGATGTGCCAGGCACTATTCTAGGCTCTGATGATACACAAGTGAGACACACAAGGTCTCTGCCTCACCACGTTTGCACAGTTCTAACAGGGAAGACATACAAACAAGTAGGCTAACCAAACCATTTTAGTTGATGAGACCTTTGAAGAAAATAAAACAGGATGAGTGGTAAGTGGAGAGCGGGCAGGAACCAGCTTAAATTATGTGGCCTGAATGGAGGTAACCTTGGAGTTAAAACCTGGATATGACAACAGGCAGCAGGCTGGGCAGAGGGGCCCAGTGCAAAGGCCCTGAGGCCACCACATCCTTTCCAACCTTGCCTAACTGCAGGCATTTCCTGCTCCACCTACCCTCACACCTGTAATAATAACACTCCAAGGGTTTATTGTTCTGTGGGTGGTAAAATATTTTCATACCACTGATTCATTAGCTCCTCTCATCAACATTATGATATAGGTAAGGTAGGTAGGTATTATTATCTCCATTTTACACATAAAGAAACTGAGGCTTAAAGACATTGAAGAGACAGCATACATAAAGTACATAATTAGCAGCACCATCTGTACTCCAGGCCCTCCCCACTCCCATGCTGATCCGAGCTAGTTTCTGCTACACCCCATAGCACCAACACAAACATGCTCTATCCTATGACAAAAGTCCTCTCCCTCATAAACCCAACCTTTACTCAGGTCATCTGTCTACACCAGAAAACCCTGGCACAGAATCAGCAAATACCAACATTTTCTCTCAATTCTGTGCCCGTGACACACATCACTAATCCACCCAGCATTCTGGGCTACTACTGCCAATGATCAAAGCTGGCTACTGCGGTAAATGTGACCAAAATGAGTTCTCCCCTAGGGAGATCTTAATTGACCTGGATTTGGGTTACAAATCCAGGACAATTAAGACCAGTGAATCAAGGAGAACACACATGAATCTACAGTCCTTTAGCTTGTGGTGAGCACACTATATAGGTGCTGATTTATAACTATGTCACCTTAAGGTTTTTCATTTCTTCTCACTTTCTTTTTTAATCCTCACTAGAGGATATTTTTTCCATTGATTTTCAGACAGAGTGAAAGGGAGGAGGGGGGCGGGGAGAGAGACAGAGATCAACTGGTTGCCTCCCACATGCGCCTCAACTGGTCAGACTGAAACACAACCAAGGTATGTGCCCTTGACTAGGAAATTGAACCTGCAACCCTTCCATGGTCAATGCTCCAACCACTGAGTAAACTGGCCAGGGCTTCTTCTCGTCTTTATTCCATTACATGGCAACTCCTGCACAATGAAAGGGGCACCCACTTGTGGAGCTCTCTATTTCTCACCTTAGGCTCTCCTATTTCCAAGAATGCTCTCTGCTAAGTGCTCTCTGGCATGACTGTGGTGGGTTGGCTGCCTCCCTGGCATTTATCAGCCTAAGTTTTATTATACAGACATTAATGAATTGGGTCATGTTTTTTAATTAAGTGGGGCACTTAATCAACAGTGAATGTTTTAATATGTGCAAAAAGCACCAAGCAAGGAAATCACTTCAAGTTTTTAGGGCACACAGCTGTTTCCCAGAGGAATGGATAAATAAAACGTGGTCTAGCAATACAATGGAATACTATTAGCGATAAAAGGAATAAAGTACTGACACATGCTACAACATGGATGAACCCTGAACATATTATGCTAAGGGAAAGAAGTCAGAAGCACACGTCATATGATTGCACGAAATGTTGAGAAAAGGTAAACATATAGAAACTGGAAGTCCATTAGTCATGGCTAGGAGTGAAATCAAGGATAAACTGGCACCAGAGAACTTTAGCAATAATGAGAATATTGTTCTAAAACTGGATTGTGGCGATGGTTACACAATTCTATAAATTTATGATTTAAAAAAATCACTGCATCGTACTAGTACACTTATAAAGATTAGACTTCAATAACGTTGTTTAAAAAAAAAAACCTCCCCTCAAGTCCTCAGTAAAGGTTTGATGAAAGAGTGAAGGAGTTAACAAATGAAAAACGAAATAA